CGGATTTGCCAGAGCACTGAGGATATGGCTCCATTAGCGCAAGCATTTATGCTTGCCTGATGAAACAATCACCCCTCTCCTCCCATGTGGACTGTTCTGGGGGTCATCCTGACCCTCTGGAGGAGATTTGGGAGAGCATGCTGTTGTGCTCGTGTGCTCAGATCCTGCTTGCAGAATTCCCACAGGCATCTGGTTGGCCACTGTGGGAACAGGAAACTAGATTAGATGGGCCACTAGTATGGCCCAGCCATCTCTTCTTCTTACATGCCGGAGGGTCCTCAAATTGGTATTATTATTATTATTATTACTGCTGCAAGAGTGACCATGTCTTCACATAGCAGCAGGGATATCAGATGGTGCAGCAAGTATTCTCCAGAGGATATAGAACTAACAAGAAAGCAGATTCTGTCTGGACATTAGGAGAAGCTTCCTCCATGGTAGGCAGAGGCGCTGGGTTGTCCCCCAAGATTGAGGGGGTCTGGCATGTGGCGGATGTGTGTGATGTCACACAAGCATCACATGCCGTGTGTCATGTGCAATTCCTGTCACTGTTGCCCTTCGGTATCTAGAACCCTCTCCCAATCCTCTCCCTCTGACCTCTCCTCAGTGTCTCGCCACCAATTTCTGGGTTCTGAGCCTTTCTCCCCTGGGATTTCCCTTGGGGGTTCCCTGGCTGGGGCCTCCCACCACTCCTCCTTGTCCAGCCAGTCCCTGACAATGAACTTAGTTGGAGTCTGTCCCTGGAGTGGAATGAGGAGGTACAGTGCTGAGTGGGTAGAAAGGATTACACCACTTCAGACTGCTGGTGGGGGGAAATATGCATTTTGGAATGGCCTTCCCCAACCTTAAAGAACTCCATGCAAATTGTTCATTCATTAATTTATTCATTCACTTATGTCATGCTTATATGACAAAATGGTTTCTATATGCCAAATAGAGCACTGAGACAGTGTAGGGAAAGCTGGAATGGAAACTTTCTCCCTGATGATTTCTAATTGGCAGGGAGTCTACCATCCATTCTGCCACATCAGCGTTTCCCCATCTCATTCAGATTTCATTCTGTCTGTTATTATATGCTAACAGCCCTGTGCATGGCGCTGCTTGGGAATTCTAGGGATGCCTGCCCCTGCCCCCCACCAATGCGGCTTTTTAAATCAGTGGTTCAAATTAGTGCCGTTTTGAAAGGTTCTGTCAGCCATCTTGATTCAAAATGGTATCCAAATGTATCCAATCATAGATAAGAACCAGCTCCTTGATCTGAAAAACAAATCTGGTTATGATAACTTAAGAGGCATGCAAATGCGTAGCAAACAAAACAAACTTTCTAAAATATGTAGTAGATGTAATGTAATATATCGGTATATGCACTTTGTATATGTGTAACCTACCAGTCTGAATCTGTAGCAACAAAACAGCAGAGGGCTATAGCTGCTGCTGTTGTTGGTGTTTAAATTTACATACTACCCTTCATCCAAAGATCTCAGGGCGGTTCACAAGATAAAAACACAAAATAAAAGCACAAAATAAATACAGTGGTAACAAAGAGTCGGACACAAGTAAACGACTAAACAACAAACATCTTGGTTCTCAAACCTAATCCGTTCCGGGAGTCTGTCCCACTCCCGAAACAGTTCGAAAACTAAGGCGCGGCTTCCAGTTGGCTGCAGGAATTTTCTGCACTCAAGCGGAAGTCGTGTCAGACGTTTGGCTTCCAAAAAATGTTTGCAAACCGGAACACTTACTTCTGGGTTTGCAGCGTTTGGGAGCTGATTTCTTCAACAACTAAGCCGTTCAAGAACCAAGGTATCACTGTAGTTAAAACAAGAACAAAACAATAACCCCCCTCCCACATTTACCTATCCATCACATTTATCTATAATATGAACTGTATTTATTTATTGCCATGAGGTTCTATAATTATGTGTAATGGGAAATGCTGTCTCTTAACCAAGTTTGGTTTGGTTTTTTTTCTTCTGCTTGTGGCAAAAAGGGCAATCAATCAGATATTAACTCATTTCTTACAAGCACAATCTGATAGCATCACTTACCTGGAGAAAGTTGCTCCATGATCCTCTAATCCAGGGGTAGACAACCTAAGACCTGGGGGCCGGATGCGGCCCAATCGCCTTCTCAATCCAGCCCGCGGACTGTCCGGGAATCAGCGTGTTTTTACATGAGTAGAATGTGTCCTTTTATTTAAAATGCATCTCTGGGTTATTTGTGGGGCATTCATTCATTCCTCCCCCCAATATAGTCCGGCCCACCACATGGTCTGAGGGATGGTGGACTGGCCCACAGCTGAAAAAGGTTGCTGACCCCTGCTCTAGTCAGAAGAGGGACTTAATCACAGAGGTGTTAAAGACAATTCACAATGTCCTGGGGTCCAAGGCTATTTAGAGCTTTAACTTTCAGCGAACACCCGAGATTCCACCTGTGCTGGGTAGAAGAGTTCTGCCTCTATCTCTTTTTTCACATGCAGATTTTTGCATCATGATTTTCCCTATGTAATGTTCTCAAATGTTACTCCTATACAGGACTTTACTGGAGAACTGCACTGCAAAATTCGGGGAAGTGTGAATTTTGAATAATAGTTGTGTTTTGGTATGAATATTGTTTCGGAAAGTACAACTTTGTTAGGTTCACATTGAATTTCTCCTTCACCCCACCACCACAATGGCTGGTACTGGGGGAAGGAGTTCCTGCAAAAATGTGGACCTTTTAGTAACCAGCATTTGCTTAGCTTTGCAAACGTGAGTTTCCGCACCAGCCCAGCCCTCCTGGTGCCAATGGATTTCTGAGCAGCTGTTTCAAATAAAGCTCATTTAATTAATTGTAATCACTGATTAGTTCCATGAGGGAATGGATAAGAAGGTAGAGATACGGCACTGAAAAATAGTTACAAGAAAAATGGTGACATTAGAAATATTAAAGGCTTAAGGGAAGCTTTAAAACTTCACGTGCCCTTTGTGGGGAGTGAATTGGTGTGTGTGTGTGTATCTCAATATCTGCAGTGCATGTGGGAGAAGATATTGGCAGGGGAGTTGTACAGGCAATGCTACAGTCTCCCACCTGCTCTATACTTAACATACACACACACACACACACACACACACACGTGTTTTCAGGGAAAACATAAATAATATGTTTTCAGTGAAAAAATAATGTGAAAGAAAGGAAATGTGAAAAGAAAGAGGGAAAATAACCAAAACAAGAGTGCATAAGTATTTACTGTAAGTGATACAATTAATCCAATAAATGTTTTTCTTTTCTGAGGCTGGCAAGCCACTTTCCACCAATCCTTTGAGACTTAATTGGGGAAAATATTTCTCTCTCTCTCTCTCTCTCTCTCTCTCTCTCGTTTTTATTGGTCCAGGGTGAATGCTGGCAAGTGACAAAAGAATTCACTGTGGTTTCTGTAACAATAAAGTATCTGGCATCAATGATTGTTAGGAATCACAGCCATCTCACTGGGAGTAATACCACGTACTGGAATGCATTGCCAGATCGTGGGGTATGCACTCTGAATACAAAGCAGGGATACAGCTGACCTTTCTACCAACTGCTATGTAAACTGGAAGAGAGTCGTAGGTTTGCTTCTTGCTCTCTTCTGGGAATTCTTTAGCTGCTAAACAATAGGTAGAAGGTATTTAAACAGTACTACAGTGGTACCTCGGGTTAAGTACTTACTAATTCATTCTGGAGGTTTGTTCTTAACCTGAAACTGTTCTTAACCTGAAGCACCACTTTAGCTAATGGGGCCTCCTGCTGCCGCTGCACCACCGGAGCACGATTTCTGTTCTCATCCTGAAGCAAAGTTCTTAACCCGAAGTACTATTTCTGGGTTAGTGGAGTCTGTAACCTGAAGCGTATGTAACCTGAAGCATATGTAACCCGAGGTACCACTGTATTATGGAAGTCTTAGCACAGGGACAGAAAGGGAGACATCAGCCCTATGGGATCTATGGATGGTATTTGGCTATGTTTTAGTCAGAGTAGACCTATCTTGGACATGGTCATTACTTTCAGTGGGTCATACTACTCTATGTTGGTTTTTTTTGGCTAGAATTCTAAGGTCCACCTGCCAGAACCAGGTAGAAACAGTCTTTCAGTCAGGTGAACTTATTCATACTCAAGCTCAGGAATTTGTGATAGTCGTTCCTAGAATCAAACACAAACTCCTTTCACATAAAAATCCACTCCTTGCTTCTTTCCAAGCATTTTTTGGGGGGCTCCGGGGAAGGGCCATAGATCAGTGGCAGAGGATCTGCTTTGCTTTCAGAAAGTCCCAGGTTCTCCTAATTTCTCCTAATTTTGCATGCAGTTCTGCCTACTATACATATATTTGCCAGATCCTGTCAATATAATACATTTCTACTAACATACACATTTTTATGCACAGTAAAGGTAAAGGGACCCCTGACCATTAGGTCCAGTCGTGTCTGACTCTGGGGTTGCGGCGCTCATCTTGCTTTATCGGCCGAGGGAGCCGGTGTACAGCTTCTGGGTCATGTGGCCAACATGACTAAGCTGCTTCTGGTGAACCAGAGCAGCATACGGAAACGCCGTTTTCCTTCCCGCCAGAGCGGTATCTATTTATCTACTTTCACTTTGACGTGCTTTCAAACTGCTAGGTGGGCAGGAGCAGGGACTGAACAACGGGAGCTCACCCCGTTGCGGGGATTCGAAACACCGACCTTCTGATCGGGAAATCCTAGGCTCTGTGGTTTAACCCACAGCGCCACCCGTGTCCCTTATTTTTATGCATGCATCCTCCTAAAACATGCATTTTCATACCTACTGTTTTGTTGGCGTATCACACCGCAAAATTTAGCAAGGTGTGAAACGCAGGATACCTGTGTTTCAGTACACGTAATATTTTGGGAATTGCAAATTAGATAGGTTCACATTAAAATACAAAACCGAATTTCTCCTTCATCCCTAGACCTGACACATCTCACTTGGCAAGACATTCTACATCTCAAAGTATTGGTATTCCAAGATTACATGGAGATCAGTTGGTAGAGCATGAGACTCTTAATCTCAGGATCATGGCGTCAAGCCCCATGTAGGGCAAAAGATCCCGGCATTGCAAGGGGTTGGCCTAGATCAGCATTTCCCAACCTTGGGCCTCCAGCTGTTTTTGGACGACAACTCCCATAATCCTCAACTAGCAAGACCAGTGGTCAGGGATGATGGGAATTGTAGTTTGAAAACAGCTGGAGGCCCAAGGTTGGGAAACACTGGCCTAGATGACCCTCGTGGTCCCTTCCCACTCTACAATTCTGTTATTCAGTGGTCTGTGTTTGCCTGAACTTGAGTCTGGACTAACGATTCTGAGCCCCTGTGTTCTGATTCAATACATGACATCCAATCACAGAACATTATAGGATTTGGGCCTCTGCCACTGGCCCTTAAACTCTGAGTTATGATTCATAGCTTGGCAGTTTAGACAGCCAATCACATTGTGAGTGGGAGTGGCCCAGGCCTCCAGAAATGTATATAAGCAGTTGCTTTGGCCCGTGGTCCTGTTCTGTTAGTTCAATAAATGTTCTTGCTGTTATCACTGCATCTTGCTTTGTGGGAGCCCACCTACACTTCAAATTCTTTTGTTCTATAAATGAAACAGGAAAGTAAAATGGATCCAGATGATCTCCTCACCCCTTTAGGCCACATTCCCAGAGTGGTGTAACAATCAATCCCTCTTCCCAGGGAGCTCTGGGAATTGCAGCTCTTTGAGGTGAATGGGGATCTCATAAAAACTCTCAGCACCCTTAACAACCTTCAGCTCCCAGGATCCTTTTGTGGAAGCCTTGACTGTTTCTCATCAAATTTATGGTGTGAATGTGACTCTGGTGTATGAGAACTGTGTTGTACATTCTCATACAAAAACTCGACAATCCCCTCCCTCTATTACAGCCTGAAAGCCTCTTAACGCAAGGCCTGGAGAATAATGGAATTGTTATATTTTCCCTGAGTTTCCCCAAATGATGTCAATCTAGAGAACAGGAGGGTGATAAAGGAAGTGTTTTGTTGTTGTTTACTCTTGGCCCTGAACAAGTCATACTATTTCAAAAACTAGAACTAATACATCCACCTACAAAAAACAGAAACCATCCTTTATAAGCTTGCAGAGGGTTCAAGCAAAAGCCCATCAGGCACAGGAAGAAAAAGCACATGCAGTTGAGGGTGGAGCTAATCAAATGGAAAACTCTGCCTGTTTCTTCTCTTTTACATTAGGGCAATGTATGTGCTTATATCACCGGTTCCCAAAGTGGGCTAACTACCAGATTTTGAAAAGCTGGTATTGCTGGACCAAGTTCATCAATGTTCTTGAATTAATTAAACTCAATACTTTTCATTGGAATAAATGTGCAACGCGGGTGGCACTGTGGGTTAAACCACAGAGCCTAGGACTTGCCGATCAGAAGGTCGGCGGCTCAAATCCCCACGACGGGGTGAGCTCCCGTTGCTCGGTCCCTGCTCCTGCCAACCTAGCAGTTAAAAAGCACGTCAAAGTGCAAGTAGATAAATAGGTACCGCTCTGGCGGGAAGGTAAACGGCGTTTCCATGCACTGCTCTGGTTCGCCAGAAGCGGCTTAGTCATGCTGGACACATGACCTGGAAGCTGTACGCCAGCTCCCTCGGCCAGTAAAGCAAGATGAACACCGCAACCCCAGAATTGGCCACAACTGGACCTAGTGGTCAGGGGTCCCTTTACCCTTTACCTATTGTTGGAATATTATTATATTATTATCTTCCTTAGTGGGTCGTGCAAACTGCTATTCAGAATAATGCTTTTTATAGGCTAGGGGGGCACTGGGGATGAATTTATGGAAGCAAGGAGACAGTGCCCCCCCCATTTGGGAAGAATTGCACTATACCTTTAAAGCACATTCAGAACACGTTCTTTCTCTCAAAGAATTCTGGAACCTGTAGTTTGTTAAGGCTTAGGGAATTGTAACTGGGGTGGAGTTAAACTACAGTGCCCAGAATTCTTTGAGAGAAAGAACAGGCTTTGAATAGGCTTTAAAGGTGCAGTGTGTCTATGGTATAGACTCTATGCACCAGCATGAAGAAACCTAAAGATGCAGGTTAGAACTGGTGTAATGTGTGGTTAGAACTATGCATGAGCAAGGTCTCAATGGTTAAAGTCTTGCCTCAGCACACATCTGCAACATGGAGCAATAGTCCTAGCTTACTTTACTACATGCTGAGAAATAGGACTATCATTTGGTTAAATGAATTTTAGTTGATTGGGTTTAGTTGATTAGATTTATGGAGTAGAGAAATCAGTGTACTGAATTTCACATTAATGCTCCTATTCTATAAAGATAAAAGGTAAAGGGACCCCTGACCGTTAAGTCCAGTGTAGACGACTCTGGGGTTGTGGTGCTCATCTCGCTTTACTGGGTGAGGGAGCCGATGTTTGTCCACAGACAGCGATCATGTGGCCAGCATGACTAAACTGCTTCTGGCGAACCAGCACACAGAAACGCTGTTTACCTTCCCGCCGGAGCAGTACCTATTTATCTACTTGCACTTTGACGTGCTTTCGAACTACTAGGTTGGCAGGAGTTGGGACACAGCAACGGGAGCTCACTCAATTGCAGGGATTCAAACTGCCAACCTTCTGATCGGCAAGCCCTAGGTTCTGTGGTTTAGACCACAGCGCCACCTGCGTCCCTCTATAAAGATACTTTCTCTTAAATAAGTCATCTTGATTTTGATGAAGTGAACTTCCGAGTAAGGATGCTTAGGTTTTCAGCCTGGTTTTAAGTGCCAGCATAGCAGGGATGGACTCCAACACCTATTAGCTCTAGCCAGCTTGTCCAATGGCCTGAGATGTTGGGTGTTGTAGTTCAACAACATCCTGAAGGCCACAGTTCCCCATCCCTGGAGCACATGATTCAGTGATTTGCTACAATTTGTATGCAGAAAGTGCTTATCCTTGAAGTAACCATGGGCTTCAGCAATGGGAGTGGGCAATTACTTGCGGGGAGGCTTCTTCCATCTCACCCCATTCTGGCCCCATTTGTGGAGGTTGCTTCTTCTATAGCAGTACTCACCAGTATGAACAACCTCTGGTGAATGTGGAGGATGCAGCTTTCCTTTTAGTATTTTTCTTTTCTTTTAGAGAAAGTCCTGCATACCTTCATATTCTTCTTCTTTGCAGGTTTAATTTCCGGGGTTACCGCTGGGTCAAAGCCATGATACATGCCATAAACGTCATAAACGAGGATGAGGATCTTCTGCCAGGCATCAAGCTGGGTTACCAGATCTACGACACATGCTATACAATGTCCAAGACGGTTGAGAACTCCTTGGCTTTCCTCACTGGGCAGAATGAAACAACCCCTGTGTTCCGATGCAGCACCGGTGCTCCTCTAGCAGCAGTCGTTGGAGCTGGTGGATCGACTCTTTCCATTGCATCCTCAAGAATCCTCGGGCTTTACTATTTCCCTCAGGTATCATGAATCCTGGAAAGCGGGGGTGCAGAACCTCAGGCCCAGGGGCTGAATGCCTCCCTCTAGGCCTCTATATCTGGCACTTGGGACTCTCTCCAGGCCACACCCCCTGTCCCAGGCCACACCCACCACTAGCTTTGCTTCTTACCTTCCTTGCGTATTTCTGCCTGGCTGGACTGTGTCCTTGAACTCTGGTCATGCTTCTTGCTTGTCTGATGGAGGACAGAGAGGGATGTGTGAGTGTGTAGAAACTAGCCTATTGTACCAAGGTAAAAATTGTATTTGTTGCTCAACTGACTGTGGCCTGTGGCCCTGCCCAACATGTGGCCCCTGGAAGGTTGTGCAGAAGGAAATGTGGCTCTCAGGGTTTCCCACCACTATAATGTTTTTACTGTAAAAAACCAACAGAAGGTCCTCTTCTGACATCAGAAGGACATGTTGTAGGGAAGGGGAAATTATGGTTTTCCAGGATTGCAATGCCCTTCAGCTGTAGTAAGCATGGTTGATGGTAAGGGATGTTGGGAGTTTGAGTCCAACAACATCTGGAAGGCCACAATCTTCCAGTCCTTCATATACAGAAAACATGGGCAGCAGAACCAGGAATGGAGTCTTTATTCTCCAGAACAAACCACATTCCCTCTCTCTGGAAGTTTTGAAAGGTGTTATATGGGAAATAGCAGTGTATTAGAACTGCCAGCGAGTCCTGCTTCTTTACCTTGCCTTCCATTCTAGCTCATTGGTCAATTTCTCTAAATTGCCCATGGCTGAGCCTTGGCTTGAGGGTGAATGGGTTGGTCAGTTCTCAACCCATGTGGCAACAGTCTGCACAATGCATTCTGCAAGGAATGGGGTGGCAGATTTTTGCAATTCAACATCCTGAGCAAAGTCCATACAAATACTCTGAAATATGAGCCGGTACATTCTGAGCTTGAGTTACAAAAATCATGACTACTAAACAAACAAATACAGAGGAGCAAGTCTCATCCCTCTACAAAAGAGTTGAAGGAATGCTTTCTTCTTTTGAGTTCTAATTTGCTTTGCTATTATGAACTGTTTTGTGGAAAAATCTCTTTTGCAGGCCTGAGCTGTGGCCCACTTGACCTTCCTGCAACTGTTGTATCATTTTCCTTCACATTGTCCTCTTTTTTTTTTTGCATTTCTTATACATGCCCTTCTTAAATCTCAGCTCATCTGTAAGCTCTTTTTGCAGCCACATTGGTTTCTTTAGATGCCTCCCACTTCAATTTCTTGTTGGAACCATCTGTATTTGTGCCTTCAGTAGAAAGTTTAAGAAAATCCCATCCATCTTGGACTCCCCTCTCTTTGAGTATTTCTGACCATGGAATCTCACCCAGTATTTCCTTAAGCTTTTTGAAATCAGTCTTCTTAAAGTCCAGAGTGCATGTGTGACTACACTCATCTTTCCCTTGCCTGTGTACAATGAAACCCAGGAGGACATGATCACTTCCTCCCAAGGTTCCCAGTACTTTCACTTTGTCAATCAGTTCCTCCCTGTTGGTGAGAACTAGACCCAAGATAGATGATCCTCTTGTTGCTCCTTCCACTTTCTGGGAAATGAAATTGTGAGTGAGGCAATGGAGGAATTTGTTGGACCTTACATTCTTGGCAGAGTTTGTTTCAATAGATATTGGAGTAGTTGAAGTCTCCCATAAATAGTATATCTCTCCTTTTGAAGATTTGGTAGTCTGTCCTAGGAAGGCATCATCCAAGTCTTCACTCTGGCTTGGAGGTCTGTATCAGACACCCACAGTAAGTTCACTGTTGTTTATCTCTCCTACAATTTTTGCCCATATACTCTCAATCTGCTTTCCAAGCTCCAGGTCATGGATCTCTTCATAAATGGACACATCCTTTAAATATAATACTCCTCCTCTCTTCCTGTTTTGTCTATTCCTTTTGAACAGGTTATACCCCTCAATTTCTACATTACAATCATGAGTCTCATCCTACCAGGTTTTAGTAATGTCTGTTAAGTCAGATTTGCCATCCTTTATTAAGATTAAAATTCTTCTTGCTTGTTTCCTATACTCTGTGCATTAGTATTGGGACAATTGAAACCATGAGTCATTCCCTTGAGCTGCTTCCCTTCTTGTACTTTCTTGCCCTTTAGAAGGTTTATATAGCACCACCTCAGTTTCCTGTGCATCAAAGCTATTACCACCACCACCACCCCCGTACCAGGAGTTCCCCTGTCGTCTGTAATTGTGAACATAAAGTTAGAAAATATTAGTTTCAGGGATCAAAGTCAGGTTGGAGCACTGGTGAAAAATCTCATAAGGAGGGACAAGGCCAACTTTTGGAAGTAGGACCTGGTTAAGATAATTCTGGAGGCAGTGTCGATTACAGGCAAGAATCTGAATCAAAGTGTCTGTCTAAAGGAAGCTAGATGGCATCCTGACAGATCCTAGCAAAATCAGTCTTCTTCTGTCCATACTCCTTCGTTTCAGCAAGAACCAGCTACTTGAAGTGTGGGATTATTTCCCATCACCCTGCTGTTTCTTTGGCCCTTCTTTGGTTCAAGCAGTCTGTCTTCCCAGTGCCCTCCTAGACTTGGATAATACATGTATGTTAGTTTCCCTTACCCCTGCCCGCCTCTTACTGACCTTTCTGCTGCTCCTTCAGTTCCTGGTCCTTAGCCACTTGGTCATAGGAAGAGAACACTATTTGTCCACTTATATCAGTGTTGTCTACTCTGACTGGCAATGATACTCCAGGGTCTAAGGCAGAGGTATTTCCCATAATCTGCTACCTGATGTCCTTTAAACTGGAGATGACGTGAACTGCACTTGACATGTCTTGCATGCAAATCACATTCTACTAATGAACTGTAGTCCCTCTTGTTAGCCTCCATTGCTCTCAGTCAACAGAGATGTCCAGTAGTAGCAAACAGCTGAGAGAAAACAGTAGCGCACGGGACAGCAACATTTGCCTCAACCTTGCTTGTTTTTCTCTCTTTTTCTTTTAGGTTGGCTACGCCTCCTCTTCTTTACTTCTCACTGATAAGTACCAGTTCCCTACCTATCTTCGCACTATTCCAAGCGACGCTGTACAGTCTAAGGGAATGGCAGACTTAGTTCACCATTTCGGCTGGAGATGGATAGGCACAATAGCAGCTGACGACGATTATGGCAAATACGGCGTCAAGGCTTTTAAAGAAAAAGTGGAGAACACCTATACCTGTATTGCTTTCTCAGAAACAATCCCCAAAATTTACTCCAGGGAAAAGCTAAAAAAAGTTGTCGAAACTATAAAAAACAGCACTGCTACGGTAATTGTGGTCTACTCATCTGATATTGACTTCCATCCTTTACTGGAAGAGATGATGGTTAGCAACATCAGTAGTAAAACCTGGATAGCAAGTGAAGCATGGGTCACATCAGCCTTAATCGCTAGGCCTGAATATTTCCCCCTCCTTGGTGGGGCTATTGGTTTTGGTGTACGAAAGGGTGACATACCAGGCCTCAAAGAATTTCTTCTCGACGTACGTCCAGGTGAAGATCCTGAGGATGACATGGCAATTGAATTTTGGCAGTCTGCGTTCAACTGCACTTGGCCAAATGCCAACATATCGTATAATACAGACAACAGAAAAAATGTAACTGGCCATGAGAACAGAGTCGATTTTGCTTCGGATGTTTTGTGCACAGGAAAGGAGAATCTTGCAGAACTTAACAATACCTACCTGGATGTTTCAGAACTTAGGATAACTTATAATGTCTACAAGGCTGTATATGCTGTTGCTTATGGCCTTGAGCAATTACGCACCTGTGAACCGGGACATGGACCATTTTCATCCGGCCCTGACTGTACCAAGATAGATGAGTTTGAGCCCTGGCAGGTAGGCACCAATTTATTAATTTATTTCAGACATATAACAACAACATACATATACATAATAACATAATTCATCCTAACCCAGAAGCTGGTGTTTAAGCAATACATACAAAAGAACAATCAAATAACATAAGTTATTATTCCCAGACTACAATTTATACAGAAGCCGATAAACAGTTTAAGTTAACCAAAATTTTTTATAATGTAGGGGCATTTATGTATATGTTTTTAGCCATATACATAATAAAGCTGCCATTCAATCCCCAAGTACAGTGGTACCTCAGGTTACAGATGCTTCAGGTTACAGACGCTTCAGGTTACAGACTCCGCTAACCCAGAAATAGTACCTCAGGTTAAGAATTTGCTGCAGGATGAGAACAGAAATTGTGCAGCAGCAGCGCAGCGGCAGCGGGAGGCCCCATTAGCTAAAGTGGTGCTTCAGGTTAAGAACAGTTTCAGGTTAAGAACGGACCTCCAGAACGAATTAAGTTCTTAACCCGAGGTACCACTGTAGTATTCATGCTTCAGGCCTTGTGCAAATTTTATTTTATTGTTTAATTTTCCCACAAGTGCTATTCGCCATACTTTGTTGTACCAATTTGTCCATGAAACACCCCCTTAAATTCTTCTAGTATCTCATTATTATGAGCCTGGCTTCTAGTAGAAGATAACTGATTAAAGGTTTAGACTGTAAGTTAATATTGTCTCTCTTGAAAAGATTGAGGAGACCCAGCCCTGGACATTTAGAGACATTTTGTCCAGTAATTGCTTTTATTTGGACAAATATTTTCTCCCAGAACTGAGCCACATTCCCACATGTCCACCACTGTTGTAAGTTTTGCTAAGATAATATAAATGTATAACATTCTTTTGGGTCCTCTTACCAATATAATGCTCCCCTCTGTTGACCCCCATTCTCTTTGGGGGAACCTTCCAATTCACCGCCCCCCCAAATGTTTTCCAAAGTTGACCCGCTAACAGCTACTGTTTGAATAAATTGATGTATGCCTTTCGACTTGCTGCAGTTAAAACAATGAAAACTCTTGTAGAACATTAAATTATTATAGCATAAGCTTTTGTAGACTACAGTCCACTTAGTCAGTATTATCCTGAGTTACAGATCAGAAGGAAATAAATGCAGAAAAATGCAGGCAGCATTATTAAGTGTAGCCATTCACGAAAAGCAGTTGTTGATGACACAGACATTCTAGCACCAGGAAACCAATGGACACATGTCGCATGAGAAATCTCACTGAATTTTGCATAAAGGTAAAGGTAAAGGGACCCCTGACCATTAGGTCCAGTCATGATCGACTCTGGGGTTGCGGCGCTCATCTCGCTTTAGTGGCCGAGGGAGCCGGCGTACAGCTTCCGGGTCATGTGGCCAGCATGACTAAGCTGCTTCTGGTGAACCAGAGCAGCACACAAGAACGCCGTTTACCTTCTCGCCGGAGCGGTACCTATTTATCTACTTGCACTTCGTGTTTTCGAACTGCTAGGTTGGCAGGAGCAGGGACCAAGCAACAGGAGCTCACCCCATCATGGGGATTTGAACTGCCGACCTTCTGATCAGCAAGTCCTAGGCTCTGTGGTTTAACTCACAGCGCCACCCGCGTCCCGAATTTTGCATCCTTCCACTTAAATCCACATTGGACTCATAGGCTGTGACTTCTCTCAAATGCTATTGTAGGAATAGATGTTCTCAGGTGCCTCATATAGTAGGCTGCTGTTCTTCAAGCATAAATAAACTCTCTTAGCTGGTATTGCAAGCCCCATCCTTCCTGAAATCTGGACCCCCCTTCAAGCAAGCAGAGAGGCAACAGAATTGACGCACCTTTAACAGTCCACTCCATAGTGCACTGCCAGGCAAAAGAAAACTGTTGTGGATACAGGAGAATCAAAATCTTCTGTACAAGACCTTCTGTATAAGATGTTCTGCATGACAAAAGAGAATTGTTGCATTCTCCATATTTCCGTAGTAGTTTGTATATTTTTTTAAAGTCCTTGTGAAAAATCACTAGCGTTTTAGTGTGACTTTCCCCTAATATACACATTTATGCAAAGCAATTTTTGTAAATGTAAATTTAAGAGAAGCATTCTAATGCACACTGTACTCTACAGTATACATTTTTGTACACATATTACTTGGCCGGAGAACTACATTGTGAAATTCATAGAAATGCAAATTTCAAAAGAGGGCTGTGTTTCAGTTTGGGTACTGTTTCAGAAAGTGCAAATTAGACAGGTTCACTTTTAATTGTAAACTGAACTGAATATATCCCTCATCTCTACATACATACATACATACATGCATACATACAGTGGTACCTCTGGTTACGAACTTAATTTGTTCTGGAGGTCCGTTCTTAACCTGGAACTGTTCTTAACCTGAGGAACCACTTTAGCTAATGGGGCCTCCTGCTGCCGCACAATTTTTGTTCTCATCCTGAGGTAAAGTTCTTAACCTGAGGTACTACTTCCGGAGTCTGTAACCCGAAGTGTTTGTAACCCGAGGTGTTTGTAACCTGAGGTACCACTGTACAAACACACAAACACAATCAAATGCACAAAGCCATTTCCCATGAAAACAAAGCGTGGTCTTTAGAACGGACCCCAGAATCCTTTGCAGGCATTTGTCGACTAATAAATCTCATACATTTCTACAAAGATAAGAGGTGGCATTAAAAGGTTTGTGCAAACCAAACCTAATAAGAACACAGAAAGCAAGCGAGTAATATTGCCTGGGACACAGAAGACGTCATTCATAGATTAAGGACTGTATTCAAGGAAGGTGTCCCATTTGCACAATGACTTAATGGCTCAGCAACAAACAAGGGCGAAGACTTGCCCCCCCCATTGCGGGGGCATGTCACATGGCAGGTCACATGACGTGTCCCGCCCCTACCTAGTGGGCTGGGTCACAGGGACATCCTGCCACTGTGATGCTGGCGCTTGTGTGCTGGGTGGGGAATGCAAAGCAACGAGCTGGGCTCTGGGCTCAGCTTCCTCTTGCCTGTGTGACATTAACCAGAAGGTGGAGGTGGAGCAGGGCTGCTGGGCTCCACATTCTGCCTCCCCCCCCATGCAATATCAGTTGGGTGGAGGAGTGGGACCACAGGATTTTGGGGGAGCCTAGATCCCTCCTTGAAAAGTGGGAGGGGGCCCTGAAGACTCCTAAGCCCCCACCACCTGGTGCACCTGGTAAAAAAAAAGTTTCCCCTACCACTTCCCTCCACCTCCCAAATCTGTTCTGGGGCTTGCCTGAACCTTCTGGAGCAGATTGGAGGGGGTGCATGGAGAAAGGAGAGGGAAGGGAAACCCCATTTTGCAAACAAAACTCCTTGTGCAAATGGGGCGACTTCTTTTGATAGAACACCTAAGTTTGCCTGTGTATTGAAAGTCCTTTAATAATAATAATAATAATAATAATAATAATAATATATTTATTTATAGCCTGCCCTCCCCAGCCGAAGCCGGGCTCAGAGCGGCTAACAACAATAAAAGTAACACAGCATTCTAAAATCAATTCATTCTAAAATCAATTCAAAATCAAATTAATGGCAACCATTGGGCTAGAGTTCTGTGAGGATTACCAAAGGAGGGGGTCAGACTGTGCCTTGGCCAAAGGCCTGGGTGAAACAGCTTTGTCTTGCAGGCCCTGTTATAAACAGAAGAGCCTAAAAAATCAGATCAGAAGGACACAAAAGCACATCTTTGGCATTTTCAAAAGCTGGGGCAATCGCTGAAAAAGCCCCATAGGGAAGGAACCTGGATCAGGATTCTCAAAGATGACCTTACCATATGGGGAAAGGTGCTTTCTGTCAGTCTTTGGCCATGGAGGAGGTTTAAAACAGGAACCTCAGTGCTGAAATGGCCACCAATAATAATATAATAATAATTTATTATTTATACCCCGCCCATCTGGCTGAGTTTCCCCAGCCACTCTGGGCGGCTTCCAATCAAGTGTTAAAAACAATACAGCGTTAAATATTAAAAACTTCCCAGCAGGGCTGCCTTCAGATGTCTTTTAAAGAGAAGATAGCTGCTTATTTCCTTCACATCTGAAGGGAGGGCGTTCCACAGGGTGGGCGCCACTACCGAGAAGGCCCTCTGTCTGGTTCCCTGTAACCTCACTTCTTGCAATGAGAGAACTGCCAGAAGGCCCTCAGTGCTGGATCTCAGTGTCCGGGCTGAACAATGGGTGTGGAGACGCTCCTTCAGGTATACAGGACCATGTGCCGCCCTGCCCTAGCTTAATCTCCCAATGCGTTTTCAAGAGCATCTCCCGTGGAGTGCCACCACAGTAGCTAATCCTTGAGGTTGCAAATAGTTAACGAGCTCTTTATAGAGGGACGTAGCCAACAAACTTGATGCAGTGGGGGGAAATGCCAGCTTTCTGTTCAACAGTAGCAACAGAACCAGGTGGATGTGCTGGTGCATCCCTGCTCTGGCAGGACAAGTCATCCTGAAAAACAGTTGACTCACATAGTCTCGAAGCCAAATACAGACAGAAAACATTTAGTCAATGTTCTGCAAATATCCAAGAACGGAGAGGATCTCTTGAGAGTGTGTGGCATCACAGTGCACATATGGGGTGGGGTGGGGTGGGGCACTTCAATAACCTGACCTGAAGCCAGGGATGAAAAACAGATACCTTCCTGATTTTTGTATTTATTTACTGAAATTCCCAGCAGTTCATGCGAGCAGGGTTGTGGCTAGGCATGATGGGAGCTATTGTCCAGAAACTTCTTCTTTTTGGGGGGTGGGGGTCGGGAGAGGGATGGTCACAGGTTCCCCACTTTTATCCTAAACCTTTCAAAACAGTAGGTAAAGGCACCCCTGACCATTAGGTCCAGTTGTGACTGACTCTGGAGTTGCGGCGCTTATCTCGCTTTATTGGCCGAGGTAGCCGGCGTACAGCTTCCGGGTCATGTAGCCAGCATGACTAAGCCGCTTCTGAAGAACCAGAGCAGCGCACGGAAACACCGTTTACCTTCCCACCAGAGCAGTACCTATTTATCTACTTGCACACTGACGTGCTTTTGAACTGCTAGGTTGGCAGGAGCAGGGACCGAGCAACGGGAGCTCACCCCATCGTGGGGATTGGAACCGCCAACCTTCTGATCGGCAAGTCCTAGGCTCTGTGGTTTAACCCACAGCACCACCCGTGTCCCTTTCAAAACAGTAGAAGTTAGTACTATTATTTGAAACTGAGCCTGGATATGAATTGGTAACCACAGGGCCACTGATTCGAACCCTACTCGCCTGCCCATCCCACAGGCACACATATCCAAGAATTCTGAAGCCTGGATTTTACAGAAGTTGAAGTGTTCAGCCTGTAAAGGGAAGCCCCTTGCTCAGAGTATTACAGTCATCCAGTCTGGATGTAAGTTTGACACATCCTTACTTTTGTCTCCTGATTTGTAGCTAATGTACTACATGAAGAATAGAATGACATTTTCGGTTCTTGGAGAGGACGTACACATAGATGATAAGGGAGATGTGTATACTTCATATGACATTCTAAACTGGCAAAAAGGTGAGAATGGCGAAGTTGCCTTTGTGCCTGTTGGAACATTTAACATGACGACGGAAAACGATATGGAATTTCATATCCAGAACGACTCAATATTTTGGAATAATCCAGCAGGAGCAGTAAGTGAATTGCATTTTCTATGCCTTCCTCTAGTTCAGTCATTTCCAAAATGGGTGGTGCCACCCCTTGGGGTGTGGAATTACCTGGGAGGGGGGTTGCTAAGAAGCAAGTGGGTGGCAGGGGGAATGCTGTTCTCAGTGGATGAAGTTCATCACTTTGGTTGAATTAATTAAGCTAAATCGTTTTAATTGGATTTCAAATATGTTAAATGTGAAATTAACTGTTACTGTTTTGAATTTTAATGTGTTATCTTCTTTACTGGGTCATACAAATCACTATTCTGAATAATGCTTTTTATAGAGTAGGGGGAACTGGGAATGACCTTATGGAACCAAGAAGGTGGTGGGCCATAAAAGTTTGTGGACCACTGTTCTAGTTTAACCATCCATGCTACTACAACTCACACAAATTTCACAGGAATAATAATAATAATAATTTATTATTTGTACCCCACCCATCTGGGCACCCCACCCAGCCACTCTGGGCACCTCCCAACAGAGTAGTAAAAACACAATGAAACACCAAACATTAAAAACTTCCCTAAACAGGGCTGCCTTTGGATGTCTTCCAAAAGTCAGATAGTTGTTTATTCCCTTGACCATACTATTCTTATATGTATGGTTCCATACAGTAGTTTATAGGCTTTTCACATCTTCAGTGGTTTTCTCATATTTCCTTCTAAGATTGACAACCCCAATGGACATAAAGTGAATTTCAGAAGCATTTATATGATTTCCCTTGAGAGTCCATGTGGCAACTGGTGGGATTTCCACCTGTCTCTTTTTGTTTGTTTGTTTGTCTGTCTGTTTGTAAAGTGTGTTTGTTATAATCAATCTGGCTGTTTGTAGTAACCCTAATTTTAAAACAAGTCTAACAATTGCTCTTTGAGGAACAAGAATAAAACGGGCTCAGTCCTACCTAGTATGCACAATATTGGGTTTGGATCCAGGTTCACATCCCATGCTAGCCATGGGGCTCATTTTCACTGCTGTTGCTGGAAATCCAGAGCCCAGCACTGCCCATGCACTTTGCATGATAGCCAAAGTTGCATGTGCAACAGGGCCTGACAGCTGGAAGTCCGTGAGCAGATTGTGTGAGATTTTCAGAAAACCTGTGGTTGCCTCTGAGTTTCCTCCTCCAGGGGGCAAATAGCAGCTGGGGCCAGGATGTTCATTCGGAAAACAGCCTGGAGAAGAAGGGCAAACACCAGCATGCCATCACTGTCCCTGTGTGATTCTCTCTCCCCCACCCCACTCCTGCTGCTATTTCAATTAAAAACAACTGCAGTAAATTCACCGATAGATCTTCCATCACCAGTGTCACATCTATCTGTGTCCCTTGATAAAACACACTTCATTCTACTCTCAGGACTCTTCACACGCCCTTTCCTTCTAGATTAACACCACAGTGCTATAGATTCTGGCTACTGTTTTCAAACCACAAGTGAGGAAGTGTCATGTTAGGGCTTGTTCTTGTGGCATCTGCAGCAACAAGGAGCCTGCAATGACTTGTTATCTCGCCCTGGAAGATTCTGGCTATAAAAGTCCCATAATTTCTCCGATGGAGACATAATGCCCTCTTTCCACACCTCCTTTGAATAGACTTTTCAAGTGTCTACACAAGCAAACACACACACACATTTTGTTGGACGTACCATAGCTCAGTGTTAGAGCACCTGCTTTGCATGATGAAGGTGTCAGGTTCAAGCCCTGGTTTTGGTGTTGGCAATGCTGCCCGTGTGAACAAAACTCCCCCCCCCATATATCTATCTATCTATCTATCTATCTATCTATCTATCTATCTATCTATATGAATTTGTATGTTACATCACAAAATTAAAAAGAAAATATGCCACCCACCTGTTAACAAAAATACATTATATAAAAAGTAAAATGTTACTATGAAATAAATGTTACATATACCTCGGGTTACATATACCTCGGGTTAAGTACTTAATTCTTTCAGGAGGTCTGTTCTTAACCTGAAACTGTTCTTAGCCTGAAGCACCACTTTAGCTAATGGGGCCTCCTGCTGCTGCCGTGCCGCCAGAGCACGATTTCTGTTCTCAACCTGAAGCAAAGTTCTTAACCTGAAGCACTATTTCTGGGTTAGCGGAGTTTGTAACCTGAAGCGAATGTAACCTGAAGCGTATGTAACCCGAGGTACCATTGTACATAAAATAAGGTTCTTCCATCCTTTAAGACTTCCTTCTCTCTCAGTGTGGGTCCCTCATTTTCTCAACACCTGCATTTGTTATAACAATTAACTTAAGATATATTGTCTGTTTTCTTTATACCATATTATATTGCAAGAGTGAGTCAAAGCATGTTAAAGGTTTCATATGGGAACAATGTTCTATTAAGTTTACAGTGGTACCTCAGTTTACGAACTTAATCCATTCCGGAAGTCCATTCTTAAACCAATACCGTTCTTAAACCGAGGAGTGCTTTCTCTAATGAGACCTCCTGCTGCCGGTGCCCTTCCACCATTCGGATTCCATTCTTAGATCGAGGTAAAATTCTCAAACCGGGACACTACTTCCGGTTTTGCAGAGTTCTTAAACCGAATCATTCGTAAACAGGACTGTTCTCAAACCGAGGTACCACTGTGCTCTGTAATTATCCCATTCTTAACTGAACTGGTGTGTTATTTGGTTCCGAATTCTCCCTGTCAATTTTGCGAGTTCTGCATATACAAACGTTTTCACCTGCCATTCTTCTTTGTGCCAGTGTGGACAAAACTGAGTTTAGCTTGGCCAGTGGTTTGACTGAGTATTAGGGTTGCCATATTTTGAAGAGCAAGAAAGGGAACACGTTTGCCAACTTCCGCTTTTAAATATGGATCGCTTTGACGGCTCTAATTTTAAATACCCCTACCATATGTAGGCTATAGAAGCTGTTATATATTCTAGTAGCAATGTTCTAAACGTTCAATAACAACAACAACAACATAATAATACATATTGCTCCCTCACTTGCCACATGAAAGTATTTGGGCTCATGTTCACATCTTTGTGAATGTAAGTATGCTCACAATTTTGTGAACAGAACAATTTATTAAACTGTTTAACATGTACGGAACTCTACTTAAGGGCAGGGGGATGTTAACTCTTGCCCTCCCAGACTCCTCCTCCAAGATCTTGTAGCTGAGCCAGTGTCCTTTTAGTTTAGCCACAAGAGACGGGATTTATACAGTGTGTAACTAGTTAAGATGCTGCTCTGTTGTGATTCTCTGCGGCAGACTAGCTTAGCTGGGTGCCTTAGATCTGAGACTAATGCACTAGAATATTTTTCATGGGTTACTGTAAACCAAAAACCAAAAAACCCCTGACATTTTGCCAAATTGAAAAATCCACCCGGACAGAAATTTTTATCCTGAAAAGGAGGACATGTCCTGGAAAAAGAGGACATATAGCAACCTTAGTCAACATAAAGCAGATTTCTATATTTCCCAATCCAAACTGCCTTGCAGAACTTTGACTGTACACATATATTGCATATATTACCACTTATCATACTTAGCTGCTGCTCTAAAATCTTGCAGAGAGCAGGGGAAGTGGTAGGGGGCGGCCCACGGGCCCGAGCCATGAATCTACTGCACCCTTCCTTTATTATTATTATTATTATTATCATCAACATCATCATCATCATCATCATTTTTGCTAACAAGACAACTGGGCTTGCTGCAAGGTGCAATGCCAATGAGACCCCATAACTACCCACCATCTTAATTTGTCCAATGGTATCGATATGTATTAATTGGCATGCGCATTTGTCTCATGGACCTGTGTCCCAGGTCCAAAAGGTGCCTAGCAATGTCCCTGGCTGAGAATCTCCTTGAGAGCTACCTAACAAGGCTCTCAGTCAGGTGTATTGCTAGGCACCTAATGAACTCGGGACACGTGGATGTGATTGTAGCTGAGTAAAAATGGCCTCCCAAGTTCTCCACCATTTTTGTATCCTGAGGGATTCTCCAAGGGCAGGCGAAATCCCCCAACAGTTTGTTGAGGGTGTCCATTAGCAATGGCACCAGCACGACTTCTCACTTCCTCCCTCCCCTTGCCGTCAAATATTTCAGCATTAGCAGCAACTGTTGTGGGCAGACTGCCATTTTGTATCTCCACAAAAGGCCTAGCATCATTCCAAGTCACTGAGGAGGAGGAAATATAACAGCCACAATAGTCACCTCCTTGTTGCATGGCAAAAACAGATACATAGGAGAAATAACAGGTCTTTTCTGTGCCTTTCAGCGTCCACGCTCCACATGCAATCTGAACTGCCAACCTGGTTATCGGAAGGGGATCCTGCAAGGAAAGCCCTCATGCTGTTATGATTGTATAAGGTGTGCCGAAGGACAGATCAGTAATATAACAGGTATGGATGCCTATCAGCATTTTAGCCAATGGGGGGAAAGAGGACATTTGTCTAGACCCAGGATGGGGAACCTGAGACCTTCTAGATGTCAATGGACCACCACCATCCCTCAGCATTGGCCATGCTGGCTGGGGCTGGTGGAAGCTGGAGTCTAACAGCTTTTTTTGGGGGTGGGAGGTGGCTCCCCATCCTTGGCGTAGACTCTAGAGAGCTGAAAATTAACTCAAGTCCAAGTCTTGCATTGGCTCAAACTGGAATCCTATATTCCACTACAGTTGTAGTTTCTCTTTCCCTCCTTTTTCTTCTGAGGCTTCATTGCAATAGGGAGGAAGAGAGTATGAGCTGAAGATTGAATAGGACAGATTGAGAGGACAGTGAATAAAGGAAGTTTGTCGCTTGGCAAGAGAATATCTGAGGTCCAATTCTCATTGGCCTTTTTTGTACTTGAGTACTGAATGTCTGCACGAGCACTATTCAGGCACTAGCACCAACAGCTGCAAAGTGTGCATTCACACCTTTCAGTACTGTGTGCTTTAATTACATGGAAACTCTGAGCTGAAGAAATGGAAAGGATCAATCATGGGGGGAGGACTTCTAAGTAGGCAATAGAGCTCTTTCTTTTGGATTTCTTTTTGGGGACACACACACACACACACACACACACACTTACATTTAATGTTTTGAATTATTTTTCCCCTTATCCTTTGATCTTAATTTATAGCGAACACTTTATATCAAAATTTTTCCTGAAAGGTGGTGAGGGCCATGGCTGGCACCACAAAGTTGATGGTGATGGCATTATGCTTTTCTTTAAAATACAGTTATGCTTGCTTAAAGAAATAAATTGGGTCAACGCACAGTTAAGGAAATCCTGGAAAACGAATCAAAGGTGCTTTTGTCAATTGACTGAATGAATTGCATCTGCTAGAATGTGTATATTGGAGTGGGGGAAGAAACAACAGTTCTGAAGAGGGGAAATCCTTGGGTGAGATCCAACTGTCGTAATCAGATTGGACCCCTTCAAACAAATGGTCTTAAGTTCATTGATTTAAGTGGGCTTACTCTGAGTGTGCCTAAAACACCCCTGGTGTTTTTGATGGTGCACACATTTGCTGCAGGAGGGAATGCTTTCTTAAAGACAGTGCTCGACGCAGGCAGTTTCTCTAAGTTCTTGGATATAGGCTGACTTCTGAGTATATATGTATAGAACCGCACTATTAATGTTATAGGTCAACCTTTCTCAAACTTGGGTCCCCAGACGTTGTTGAACTATAACTCCCATCTTCCCTAGCCAGCAGGACTGGTGGTCATGGATGATGAGAGCTGTAGTCCAACAACGTGTGGGGAAACCAAGGTTGAGAATGGCTGCTATAGTTCTAGATATTAAACTACTGCAGGTCACCTTAGAACCACATATATTAAAATACACCATAGCTGAGTGGGGACTTGAACTAGGGACTCCCCTCTCCTAAGATGGCACTCTAACCACTATGTCACTCTGGGTCCCATGTGCCCTCAGTTTGAATCTTTCCGGTCCTATAGCTGTTGAGTTTGTTTTTAGGGCTGCTGAGCGAGCTTGTCATCAGTCAATGGAGGCTGAATGGAGGGTGAAACCTCCATTCCAACCTCAGCCTGCCCTCAGCCTGTACCCACCTGCCTGCCTTGCTGCTTACAACTAGTTAAGGGGTGGCTTTGCTTGTGATTGCCCATATCTCCTGGTTGCCTCATCTTCCACTCTACAGCAGTGGCTAGTGCTCATTAGAACTGTGTAGTCAGACACTTCTTGGATTTCAGTTTGCTGCTCATGATCACGGGTCCCTAGTGAATGTCACACAGTAGATCCTGGTTACCCTAATAGTCTTTGACTATGACCCACCCTTAACCTGGAAGACTACCCTCTAATTTGTAACGTGTGAAAAACTCTCTGGGGTTGCTTAGCAGTGAGAAAAATGCATCCTGCATTCATGGGTACGTTTTAAACCATTCTGGACAAAAATCAGAAGGGAAACTAAGGCACATTTTACCTTTTACATACACTCACCTTTCTGTGCTCTCCATCCAGACAAGAAAAAAGGCACCAGAATCATAGAGTTGGAAGGGACCCTGAGGATCATCTGGTCCAACCCCCTGCAATGCAGGAATATGCAGTTGTCCCACACAGGGATCAAACCTGCAACCTGGGCATCATCAGCACCACAATCTAACCAACTGAGCTATCCAGGCATTAGTAGAGGGCACATTCCACTCAGACTTAGGGTGTGAAGCAGGGGCAGAGAGGGGGGTGGCCTGGGAGAATTCCAAGAGCCAGATAGAGAGAGAGGTCTGAAGAGGGCTTGAGGCTCCCCTATGGCATTTTTAAAAACAATTAGTTTCTGGTTTCTTTCTTCTCCAGATGCAAGGGAATGCACAGGCTGTGAGGAAGATTACTGGTCCAACAACGAGAGAAATAAATGTGTGCTTAAGGAGGTGGAGTACTTGGCTTACGAAGATGCTTTGGGGATGACATTGATTGCTCTGTCTGTGTTTGGGGCTCTCGTCGTCCTGTCAGTGACTGGCGTATATATCAAGTTTAGGAACACGGCTCTTGTGAAAGCCAACGACCGGGAGCTGAGCTTCCTCATTCAGTTTTCTCTTGTTGGAACCTTGATGACTTCTATCCTCTTCATTGGTAAGCCAGAAGACTGGTCTTGCATGTCCCGGCAGGTGACCTTAGCCTTGGGTTTTTCCGTCTGCCTGTCTTGCGTCCTGGGAAAGACAGTGACTCTCTGCCTGACACAGCTGGCCATGAACTCAAAGGTTGCTGAGAAAGCGCGGATGTTGGTGAAGCCGATTTGCCAAAAGATCATTGTCCTCAACTCTGTCCTTACCCAAGTGGGCATCGTCTGTGCCTACCTGATACTGAATCCTCCTCGCATGTACAAGAACACCCAGTTCTCCATCACAAAAATCATTTATGAATGCAACGAAGGCTCCATCCTGTACTTGTGTGTCATGTTTGGCTTTGATGTCTTCCTCGCTATCCTGAGCTTCCTCACGGCCTTTGTGGCTCGCAAGCTGCCCAATAACTTTAACGAAGCCAAGTTCGTCACCTTCGGGATGTTGGTCTTCTTCATCGTATGGATATCATTTGTGCCTGCTTATTTAAGCACACGAGGGAAGTTCAAAGTGGCCGTGGAGATCTTCGCCATCCTGGCTTCCAGCTTTGGTTTGCTGGGCTGCATATTTGTGCCGAAATGTTACATTATCTTGCTGAAACCTTTAAGAAACACAGAAGAAATCGTAGGAGGAAGAGCGGCCACCAACGACAAGAGCGCACCGCCAACTTCTGCCTCGTGCACCAGTGAAGTTAACAACACTACGGTCTCTACGGTTCTTGAAGATTAGAACTTTTAAAGCTTTCGCCTGTCACCAGTTCCACTAGTTTATTTGCACACGTTTTCCCATCTCTATGCTGAGAGAAAGAAGATGCCTTACCAAAGTCCCCCCCCTTCTGCTTGTTGGGGAATAATAGCACAAATAAAGCATAGCTGATTGCTTGCTGAGAAAATAACAGGAGGAGCTTTGTATTTTCACAACGACATATAATAGCTTGGATCCAACCCTCTGCAAGCGGAAAGAAACTTCTGCTCACACAAGGGAAGGGGCCACAGGTGCTCACCACCACCAGCGGCTGCAGCCTCCCCAGCTACGTAGTTCAGGAGGGTTCCTTCTCTCCGGAGAGGCTTTCTGGTGTGTGCGTTTATGGAGGAGGCAGCAGGAAGGAGAAGACAGGAAGACTCATGGTTCCTGGGATCCAGTGCCTATGATTCTACCTATAATAGGCCAGCCATTCAAAACCATGCAATCAGTGACTTTTCCATGTAAAAACCAACCCTCTCAGCATAGTATCAACTAACTTCATGAGAGTGCCTCTGATATTTTCCAATAAATCAAATTATTTACAACTTGCTTCATGCTATTTTATGGTTATGGGGAGGCGATCTAATTAGTGTGGAACAAAGTGGCATGATTGTTTCTCACAACCTAGGAACTATGGTGCTTTTAATACAGCCTAAAATTGCATTAGTCTAGAGGTAGCCAACATTGTGTCCTCCAGATGTTATGGAATACAGCTCCCATCATTCCTGCCCAGTGGCCATGCTGGCTGGGACTGATGGGAGTTGTAGTCCAAAACTTATGGAAGGTACCAAGTTGGCCATGATTGCATTAGCTTTCCATGTACTATCACAGAGCTGCTGCTCTTCCTGAAAATGCACAAAGCAAACTATAGGAAAGGACCATAGCTCAGCAGAAGAACATCTGTCTTGCATGCAGAAGGTCCTAAATTCAATCCCTGGCATCTCAGGTAGGACTGGGGGAGAGACTCTGGTCTGAAGCCCTGGAGAGCCACTGCCAGTCCGTGTGGACAGTACTGAGCTAGATAGACCAATGGTCTGACTCAGTATAAGGCAGCTTCCTATGTTCCTAATTAGTTAGGTAAATTGGTTGCCATGCTCACCAAATGCATGGGCTTCCAGTATGAGCAGGCCAAGAAATTTGTGTTTGTTGCAGCTGGCCCCTTGCTGACTAAAGAAAATGGGCTTGTAGAAGAATTCCCCCAAAACTGATTGTGCAAAATGACTTATCGTTCAAGATGCATTTTAGAAAATATGGGGATAAATGTCCTGCTCTAAAAAGAGAGAGGGTTTTGGCAGAGCCACCCTCCTAAGGCCAGTGACACTGATGCTTACCTGGGTTCAACTAAGCTGGGATGGCAGTGGGGTCAGGACCCCACAGCTGCACCACTGGGTGTGCTGCTGCCAACCTGCAGCTCCCATCAATGCAACAGTGTAGCTCCAACCTTGTTACACACCCACCCACCCTCCACAGCCTCAGCCCTGTCCAGGTAAGCAGGACTGACACCATCGTTGGGAGGGCAGCTCCACCCCACAGTGCTCTCCGCTGCTGAGGGAGGGGTAGATTTACTGAGGAATGTTGCTGGGAGACTTTTGCAGAAACAGCCAAAATAGGGTAGTGAGTTGTAGTAACAGCACTGCCTTGGCTGGACTGGAGCATTCCATCATCCCTAGCATTGGCTCTCCAGCGGTATGGAGGTAGTATTCCCTGCCTGTTTTCCCAGCTCCATTTATTTCTGTTACTGTTGGTGTTATTACAGGGAACAGAGGCAGTGTTTACTGAGACCTCTAACAGCCTGGTATGCTTCGTACCTTATGTGCCTTGCGTTGTATACACCTCTGCTCTTTGTTGAGCCAAGTTATTCAGAGAGAGGGAAACCAATATTGATTTGTTTGTAAAGGTTGTTTTCTGCAATAGTTTCATCAGAAGGAGCAAATTGTCTGGCAGCTGGGACTATGTTCATGTCCACGTGCATTTTGCCTGGGAAGCATTCTGTTTTCCAGAGCTTGCCAAAAAGCCGTGGCAGCTACCTCCAGAACAGCAGCTACCTCCAGAACCGAAACAATGCAGAACAGGGATTTCTGCATTGTTTCTGCATTAACCATATCACCAGATGAGGCCCAGTTAAATGATGCAGCCCTTGAGATGGACCTCATTACTGTGCCTTCCATCACTAGCCTTTAAAGCCATGTTTTGTTGGCCTTGTGAAGATGTTCTTCATGCACATGCATTTGACACATAGTCAGAGGACAGGAATTGTGCATGGTGTCCCCACCCCATGGCATGATTGGACTGTACATACGGGCATATGAGCTGTTCACATGTGCATGCCTTGCAGGATCTGTAGGCTACAGGGCTGTAGCTCAGCAGCAGAATACCTGCTTTGCATGCAGAAAGTCCTAGGTCCAGTCTCTGGCATCTTCTGGCACGGCTGCGAAAGGTTCCCTGCCTGAAATCCTGGAGAACCTCTGCCAGTCAACGAAGACTAGGGCTAGGGAACTTGAAGCCCTCCAGATGTTGTGGTGTTCAGTAGATTTATTGCTTTATTGTTCGGTGCCCAGCCACGCTTCCCTGCGAGCCTCTGCATTTCGTCACGTCCTGGCGTACTTCCCTTGTACGCGCCTCCTCTCAGCCTCGAGACACAGAAGGTTAACCCTTCACTACATGTGGGCATCTATCTGCCCCAGGGGGCATTGGTAATGGTCAAGGATGATGGGGGTTGTAGCCCACCAACATCTGGAGGTCCACCAGTCACTATCTGTGGCATAGTAAGTGAGCTAGATGGGCCAATGGGAATAAGGTCCCCAAACATACAGACCCTGTGAGCTGACCACTCTTTGATTGGATATACCCAGACACATAGGAAACTGCAGTCCACATTAGCCATGGACAAACCGCTCAGGTTCACTTTCTCTCAACATCTTGTTTTTTCAGTCTTTTAAGTTCTCCACATTTCTGCATCAGCTTGTGCTTTTTGGGGCAGTGGCAGGGAAAGTTCCTCATGAAAATTTTATCTGCATTTTAGTGCCATTTTCTCCTAATTTACAAAGTGCAAGCAATTTCCCCTAACATAATGCATTTTTGTACATTATTTTCTGAACATCTGCATTTTTTTAATGTACACTTTACCTGGGTATCTTTATATGCACTACTTGGCTGGGAAACTGCTTTGCAAAATTCAGAGGTGTGCAAACTTGGAAGGATGGCTGAGTTTTGGTTTGTGCATTGAATCAGAAAGTGGAAATCAGGAAAGCTCACCTTTAAACACATTTCTCTTCCATCTCTAATGCCACGTGGCCAGTTCTGCACCCCCACAGCTAATCTGCTGCCCTCAGATGGAAGGAGAAACTATCTCATTGCCAGCAATGGAGTAAGATTCAGCAGACGATTGAGCCAGCTTCTCACCTTTGAAATGTGTGTGGAGGGGGATAGCATAGTATTTTCCTTCAAGCAACGAAGGGTCTGCTCTGGTCCTACACAGCAAACGAAGAGCACCTGCAGAGGTAAAATGTGTGTTGCGGTTTGTATGCATTACTTGCATTGGAATCGCTTTTTAGGAAAAAAAATCATTGAGATGTTTTGCAAATTCCCCCCTTTAATTCCACTAATAAATGATGACATGAGAGATGGGTAAGTTGGCTTGTAGAGCAGGCACAAAATGAAGACTTTTTGTTTGCAAAGCTTCATTAAAGAAAATTGCCTGGTCAGGTTTAACATGTTTCAGTGCGTATGGGTGAGCATCTGTTTTGGCCCTGTGTCTTATAGGCACTCAGGGGAAATCTGCTGATGGTGCTCTATAGCCTCAGGAGGCGGTGTTCTGTTTCTTGACCTCAGATGCACCCAGCAATGTGACACTTGATCTCGGCAGAACTTTGGCAAAGGACAGCAGTGACTCTGGGCTGGTGGGATGCTGCTCCCAGGAGCATTCTGGCAGAATGAGTTTTGAGTGACATGCAAATGCATGTCTGGAGCTATTCCAGACTTTCCCCAAACACCCAAGGACTTCCTCCAAATGGCATTCATGTATCTCATTGTGCGCACAGAGGCATATTTTAAGGGCAATGGACATTTCCACAAAGACAATTCAGGAAGGGTTATACTACCGCACTGCGTCCACTGTATCAAAGAACATAGAGAGTCTGCTAGACTCAATGGCCCATCTCGCCCAGTGTCCTGTTTTTGCAGTGGCCAACCAAATGCCATGGGGAAGCACATAAGCAGGAACTGAGTGCAACAGCACTTTGCCCACTTGCGATTTCCAGCAACTGGTATTCAGGGACATGGCTGCCTCTAGCAGTGCAGGTGGACCAAAGCCGTCATGGCTGGTAACCATTCAGAGCCTTATCTTCCATGAAAACCTATGACCCCTTATTCCTCAACCAGAGGATCAATGTAAGGATGAGGCACATGGTAAACAAAACTGGATTTTTATGAATGAGAGTTAAAACTTAATGGTTTCTGTGATGAGGCACACCACTTTGTTTCAGTCAAAACCACTTTATAGAAAGAATTGAGAATTCTACTTAAAACTTTCACTCTTAACCAGTTTCTGAGCTTCTCCGAAAATGACTATTTGTTCTAATAATCCAGAAAGACACACCCAGCCCTTTCTAGGATCTTTTGCTTCCCCTCAGGGTAATAATCACAGTTGCTCTACCTAGCAAATTCCTAACCACTCAGCTAATCCCTTTCCAGGCTCTATCTAAGCCCTATCTGAAAGTTTAACTGTTGGGTACCAACTTTTAACTCTGCATTCATTCCTGATTGGTTGGATGACACCCTGCCCAGCCTTGATTGGTTACTGGGTCTCCATGAGGATGACTGTCCATCACACCTGAGCGGCCACCAATCCAATACACTGACTATGGGAGGAACTATGTTCAGAAACACAAGGCTAGACCTGCACTGCAGATGCACCAGGGGAAAGTTTGTGGCTCAATGGCAGAGCTCAAGTTTGGTATGTAAAAGGTCTCAGGTTCAATCCCCAGCATCTCTAGGAAGGACTGGGAGGGACCTGTGTCTGAAATCCTGGAGAGCTGCTGCCAGTTGGTGTAGGCAATATTGAGCTAGATGGACCATTGGTCTGACTCAAAGGAGCGTCTCCATGCCCATCATTCAGCCCGGACACTGAGGTCCAGCACCAAGGGCCTTCTGGCGGTTCCCTCACTGCACGAAGTAAGATTACAGGGAACCAGGCAGAGGGCCTTCTCACTAGTGGCACCCGCCCTGTGGAACGCCCTCCCTTCAGATGTCAAGGAAATAAACAACTATTTGACTTTTGAAGACATCTGAAGGCAGCCCTGTTTAGGGAAGTTTTGATGTTTTATTGCGTTTTTAATGTTCTGTTGGGAGCTGCCCAGAGTGGCTGGGGAAACCCAGCCAGATGGGCGGGGTACAAATAATTAAATAATTATTAATTATTATTATTATTATTATTATTACTATTATTATTATTACTATTATTTCAAAATAAGGCAGTTTTTCACCTTTGTAGGATTTACTGGAAGGGGCATGAATGGTCCCCACTTAAAGGCCATTGTCGAAGTCTGAT